AGCACGCTAGGCCCTCCTATCTTCCACTGCCTCCCATAGTTCTGTCAATTTCATGTTGGTTGCTTTGCAGACACTGTCCAGCCATCTCATCCTCTGTCGTCCCCTTCTCCTCTTGCCTCCACACTTTCCCAATATCAGGGTCTTTTCCAGGGAGTCTTCTCTTCTCATGAGATGGCCAAAGTACTGGAGCCTCAGCTTCAGGATTTGTCCTTCCAGTGAGCACTCAGGGTTGATTTCCTTTAGAATGGATAGGTTTGTTCTCCTTGCAGTCCAGGGGACTCTCAAGAGCCTCCTCCAGCACCACAATTCAAAGGCATCAATTCTTCGGTGGTCTCCTTTCTTTATGGTCCAGCTCTCACTTCCATACATCACGACAGGAAAGACCACAGTGCACTCTCCTCTTTCACCCTCATTACAAGCTTCTTTAATTCCTCCTCACTTTCTGCCATCAGCGTGGTATCATCTGCATATCGGAGGTTGTTGATATTTCTTCCGGCAATCTTAATTCCGGCTTGGGATTCCTCCAGTCCAGCCTTCTGTATGATGTATTCTGCATATAAGTTAAAAAAGCCGGGGGACAATATACAGCCTTGTCGTACTCCTTTCCCAATTTTGAACCAATCAGTTGTTCCATATCCAGTTCTAATTGTTGCTTCCTGTCCCACATATAGGTTTCTCAGGAGACAGATAAGGTGGTGAGGCACTCCCATTTCTTTAAGGACTTGCCATAGTTTGCTGTGGTCCACACAGTCAAAGGCTTTTGCATAGTCAATGAAGCAGAAGTAGATATTTTCCTGGAACTCTCTGGCTTTTTTCATAATCCAGCGCATATTAGCAATTTGGTCTCTAGTTCCTCTGCCCCTTCGGAATCCAGCTTGTACTTCTGGGAGTTCTCGGTCCACATTCTGCTGAAGCACACCTTGTAGGATTTTGAGCATAACCTTGCTAGCGTGTGATATGAGTGCAATTGTATGGTAGTTGGAGCATTCTTTGGCACTGCCTTTCTTTGGGATTGGGATGTAGACTGATCTTTTCCAATCCTCTGGCCACTGTTGAGTTTTCCAAACTTGCTGGCGTATTGCATGTAGCACCTTAACAGCATCATCTTTTAAGATTTTAAATAGTTCAACTGGAATGTCATCACCTCCACTGGCCTTGTTGTTAGCCAAGCTTTCTAAGAAAGTCTGGCTAAATTTCTAAGAAATTCAGAATAGTTCATGTTAAATATGTAAAAAGTATGATTTAAAACCATTTTAGCACAAAGATTTTTCAAGATTTTTATTATTTCATTTAATTTTATACTTATAATCCACTTTTTCATTTCCCAAGGAAGCACAATCAATGCAGCAACACAGTGTTCTTCTTAATCCTTCTGGCTACAATAAATTCCAAAAAAGAGAAAAGCCCTATTTAGGCATTATCGCTTGTAAAGAGGTAGGGCTCTAACTGTGGTGGGGACATGTCGGCAAGTTTAAAGTCCCGACTCTGCAATGATCACTCATATCTGGGTGTCATTCAAACTTCATTGCATTTGGAGCAACGGTGTGAAGTGGGGACATGTCGGCAAGTTTAAAGTCCCAACTCTCCAATGCCACTCATATCTGGGTGTCATTCAAACGTCATTGTATTTGGAGCAACGGTGTGAAGAAACTTCATAGTATAAGAACATTGAGTTGAACAAGGTAAGGCTTAATAGACAACAGGGGAAGGTCATGTTGGGGCCAGGACTCACACATACTACCCTGCCCCACTATGATTAGAGCTTACTCACTTTCAGGATATACCTGCTGAACTGGACTGTCCGTTCCAGAGATAGTGAGTGAAAACAGACAACTCACTGTCTGCAAGGTTAGTGTGGATAAGCTGGCTAACTCACTGTTTAAGTGTGCTAAATTTCTTGAAATTCAACAGAAACTATGCGTGTATTACAGACAAAAAACAAAACAAAAAACAAGGAAGACAAGAATGTTGTGGCACCTTATAGACTAACTGCTCTATTTTACTATGAGCTTTTGTGGATCCAGTCCATTTCCTCAGACATAAGAATGAGACTTTATGACAATCATTTATACAAATGTTTCCAAGATACCATGACAATAGTTAGTTCGTAAACACAAGTTGCAAAGTGTGTGAATCATTGTGGCCTTTCACACTTGGCAATGACTTAAGAGCTGCCTAGACAGCTCAGTGAGTGAGAGGCTGGAAGTTCAATTCTCCACTGTATGCCTCCTGCAAGTGGAGCCCACCTATATAGCCTTGGGCACAATCCCAGGATGCCCGCAGAAGAAGGGAATCTAAATCACTACTGATTACAATAACTAGAAAACTCTGAAAAAGCATTGCCATAAGTCAGAATTGACTTGAGGACACACAGTTATAAAATGACTTAAGAGCCCTGTTTGATATCCAATTATTTTCCTTTGACGCTTTGTTTTGTGGAAAGTAAAGGACACCCAGGCTATAGATAACAACAGCAGATACAACTAAAATGACTTAAGAGCCCTGTTTGATATCTAATTATTTTCATTTGAAGCTTTGTTTTGTGGAAAGTGGCAATGGTTAGTAGGTAAAGGACACCCAGGCGATAGATAACAACAGCAGATACAATGTAATTGTTGTGGCATTGCACAGTTGGCAATGAGTTAACTTAAAATGACTTAAGAGCCCTGTTTGATATCCAATTATTTTCCTTTGACGCTTTGTTTTGTGGAAAGTAAAGGACACCCAGGCTATAGATAACAACAGCAGATACAACGTAATTGTTGTGGCATTGCACAGTTGGCAATGAGTTAAGAACCCTTGACTTTACCTTTGAAGCTTTCTTCTGTAAGAAGTGACAATGATTAGTTGGGAAAGTAACCTTGGCTGCCTCTCTTTATCCCACTTTGAGACTGCTGTAGGTCCATCGGCTACTTCATAGCTTTGCTGCTATGAGCAAACCTGACCCACCATGCACTGCTGCTGTGTCTGTCTTTACCTCCTACTTCTTTATTTAGGGAAAGTAAGTATATATTCTGATCTCACCATCTTAAAAGTTTACTCACACTGGTAACCCTACTGTCCCAAAGAGTTCAATAAAATGTTTTCCCTTCCCTTTAGAGCCATTTTCTTTCTCAGGAAACCTCCCCGCCCAACAAAAAAATCAGTCATTAAAAGAAAGAAGATGATTGCCTTGCTTTAAGGCCCTCTTAAGAATCTCTTGCATTGCTATTTAACCTCATAGATTACACCGGTATATTTTGTATTTATTTTTCTTTATATCGCAGCTGCAAAATAATGAAATAACCAAATCTATATCTTCTAATTTTCAATTTGTAGCTTGGCATCAAGATCAATCATACAGTGGGACCGTGGTATCCACGGAGGAGCAGGTCAAAGTCCTGCCCCTGTGGACACTGAAAAATGTGGAGATAGTCAACGCTATACATAAAATTTCTCTGGCTCTCTCTAGTGGTTAGTTCTGGTAAATGTGAAGTGAAATAAATATAAAAACTTATTTCTGTGTTTTTTAATTTAATATTTTCAGGGAGCATATAAGGGAATCCATGTATGCTGGTCCAGCGAATAGGAGGGTCCTACTGTATAAGCACACTTGCTGCTTATTTTAGCCAAACAAGCCACAGAATGTTGGTTTCAGAAATGCGCCAGCAGTTTCTGATTCTGGTAAATGTGAAGTGAAATAAATATAAAAACTTATTTCTGTGTTTTTTAATTTAATATTTTCAGGGAGCATATAAGGGAATCCATGTATGCTGGTCCAGCGAATAGGAGGGTCCTACTGTATAAGCACACTTGCTGCTTATTTTAGCCAAACAAGCCACAGAATGTTGGTTTCAGAAATGCGCCAGCAGTTTCTGAGCAAGAGAAACCTCAACGGGGCCAAAATCCCTAGTACCTCAAATACTTATATCTTTCAAATTACAGTTTTAATATTTCAAAGGTAAAGGTAAAGGTTCCCCTTGACAATTTTTGTCCAGTTGTGTCCGACTCTAGGGGGCGGCGCTCATCCCGCTCTTCAAGCCATAGAGCCAGTGTTTGTCCGAAGACAATCTTTCCGTGGTCACATGACCAGTGCGACTTAGACATGGAACGCTGTTACCTTCCCACCAAGGTGGTCCTATTTATCTACTCGCATCTGCATGCTTTCGAACCGCTAGGTTGGCGGGAGCTGGGACAAGCGACGGGTGCTCATTCCGTTACGTGGATTCGATCTTACGACTGCCGGATCTTCTGACCCTGCAGCACAGGCTGCTGCGGTTTAGCCCACAGCGCCACCACGTCCCATTTTAATATTTCAAATAACTACTTAAATCTTCCAAATTGTAATTCAGATCTTAAATATGAAATCTGGAAAGCACAGAGAGAGATCAAGGGGGAGCAAGCTCTTCCTTACCGCAAACGTGTGCAATTGTAGAGTTCATGTGATCTCATCTACTACAAAGCACTATTGTAAGACTTCCAAGTAATTATGTGGTTAGTCAGAGTGCCCCAGACCCTTTAAAACTTCCCCACATTACATTAGGTAGGAAGGAAAAATCTCACCAACATATCTTTAAGAGACATGCCCAAATATCTTTGTAAAGAAATGATTGGTGAGTGGCTCATGCAGGTCAGTATTAGAGATTCGTTATATACAATAAGGATTTATCATGTTTTAGGGACTGCAGTTAGAAACAAAAAGAAGCTATAATCTTCAATTACAATGTAAGATATAATAAATTATGTTTCCGTGAAAGGGTTAGGATTCTCCAACAGTTTACAACACTGTCACTTAGATTTCTAGGATTCTTGAACAAATGCATAACATTTCGATATAAATTGGTAGCAAAAACATGCTCTGTCATATTCAATATGATTTTTAAGAAAGAAAGTAGCAATAAAACTGAACTAAAAATGTAGCAACATACATTACTTTCCATATACCACCATTTGGTCGACTGTTGACTCATAATGGATTCTTACTGATATTAGATTACCAGTTTAGCACTGAGTAACTAAGATCATTTTTTTTTACAATTATATAATGTATATAAGGACAGAAAGGAAAACATACCCTCAGCAAGACTAACCGTTGCACAGAGCAGGTCCTGTTGTTTCCCATTCTCAGACGATGCAGGGATACTGGGACTGAAGACCATGAGATCACTCTTGGCACCAGACTCCCCTGCCACACTAGCTAAGATGTGGCTGTGACGATTGGAATAGGACCAGCTGCCCACTTCACTGGCACATACTAGGGTGGCAGTGCCAGGACCATACACCATGGCCTCCTTGGCCCGACACGGGCATCGCAAGGCAACATAGAAGACAACTGCCAGTAGGAACAAGCTGGACACTGAGCAGATGGCAATGATCAGGTAGACATTGACAGTGTCGCCCAGGGGCTTTGAACCCTCACTTGTCCTAGGGAGGCGGATATCAGTGTGGATGGCCTGGGCACTTGTCACCAGGGACACACTCACAGTGGCTGTGGCTGAAAGTGGAGGCTTGCCATGGTCCTTCACCAGAACTACCAGGTTATAACTTCTGCTGCCCTCTGCCTCATCCAGAGGGCGGACGGTACTGATCTCACCACTATATGGGCTCACACGCCACGGACCGCTAGTGCCCTCATGTAGTTCATATCGCAGCCATGCGTTGTATCCTGAGTCGGCATCCAGAGCATGAATCTTATTCACCATGTGCCCAACAGACACAGGAATCACAAGAAGAACAGGCTTCTCCTCCATCTGCCAAGACACTGCAGGGGCATTGTCGTTCTCATCCACCACAAAGACTTGGATGGTCACATTGCCACACAAGGAAGGCAGCCCAGCGTCCTTGGCACTCACTTGGAACTCCAAAAGCTTCATCTCCTCGTAGTCCAAGGGCTGTAAGGCATAGAGCTTCCCGCTCTCCGAGTGCACAGAGATGTAGCTGGAGAGTGGCCAGAGTTTCTCGTCCAGCCAGTAGCTGATGAGGCTGTTCTCTTCCACATCTGGGTCAGAGGCAGACACGGTGAAGATGTGAGCCCCAGGAGGGTTGTTCTCCTTCACAAAGACCATGTAGGAAGGCTGCAGGAAGGTGGGTGCATTGTCATTGATGTCACTCACTGGCACTACCACACTACTGCTGGCTGACAACGATGGGTCCCCATGGTCCTGTGCCATCACCACCAACTCATACTCGGCCACCCGCTCCCGATCCAAGAGCTCAGCTACTACTAAGGAATAGTAATTTTTGAAGGTGGACACCAGTTTGAAGGGGAGCCCAGGAGGCCAGAGAGAGCAGCTCACTTGCCCGTTGGCCTCAGAGTCCTTGTCTGAGGCACTGATGAGGGCCACCACAGTCCCCAGTGGGGAGTCCTCTGGCACTGGCACAGAAAGGGATGAGACAGAGACCTCCGGAGCATTATCGTTCACATCCAACACCTCAACGATCACTTGGCAGTGCCCAGACAAAGATGGATTGCCTTTATCTTCAGCTGAAACATGTACGTCATATACATTCATATCTTCAAAATCCACTTTTCCAACCACTCTGATTTCTCCTGTATTGGCATTTATGCTAAAAATCTTCAAAAAATGTGGTGGTACATGACTAGTAAAAGAATAGGATATTTCACTATTAACCCCTTCATCTAAATCTGTCGCGTTCAGTTTCAACATTAACGTTCCATTAGCTGCATTTTCCCATAATTTCACTTTGTAAACTGACTGGTTAAACACAGGAGGGTTGTCATTTATATCCAGCACATGAATCACCAGCTGGACTGTGCCTGTGAGTTCAGGCTTGCCCCCATCGGTGGCTGTGAGTAATAACCGGTGCACAGGGTTTTCTTCTCGATCCAAAGGCTTCTTTAAAACAATGGCCAAGGGCTTGTTGTGCTGGTCCTCTGATCTCTGCTCTACACTAAAATATTCACTGGGCCTGAGCTTGTAAGTGAGCAGAGCATTCATACCGATATCTGCATCAGAAGCTCCCTCTAAGGGGAATCTGGTGCCAGGGGCTGTTATAATTTCAGCTATGCTCAAAACCTGCTCACCTGCAGAGAAAACTGGAGCATTGTCATTTATGTCCCTGATTTCTACCTCCACGTGGAAGACCCTCAGAGGTTTGTCCACAATCATCTCCAGGTGAATGGCACACTCAGCATTCTTGCCACACAGCTCCTCCCTGTCTATCCGGGAATTGACAAACAAGATCCCATTCTGCACATTTACCTCAAAGTGGTCTTTGCGTCCTTTTGACACCATCCGGAACATCCGAGGCACCAGCTCCTCCACCTCCAGCCCCAGGTCCTGAGCGACACGGCCCACAAAGGTGCCATGCTGGGATTCCTCCGGCACAGAATAATGGAGCTGGGAGCTCCCCATTTTCCAGGCAGTGTGGAGCAGAATCAGCTGCAGCAGCTGCCTATTCCCCATTGCAGAGTCTCCACATGGATAGCCTTGCAGTCTCTTCTTCTTTTCAGGGAATGAAACCACCTTTTCTTGGCAGAATAAAGATCAGGAGGATCCTAGGAATTCTTCCAAATCGCTGCTGACATTATCATGTCAATAGATGCCAGGGCTTGTTGCATTTGGTCCTTGGAGTCACTATTGTGAAGCTGACAGGAAAGGTTTCGAGTCACTCCAGGGAGGAGCTCTCCGTTTTTCATCCTGTGAGTACCTTTCCTTAGACAACAGTGACCCCTTGTGAGTGGATCTTGAAATAGACAAGCCGTTGAGTAAAAACGTGTGTTAAAATATTTTGCACTTCCATGTGGTGCTTATGCTTTTTTAGTTTCAAGCTCAGCTCTTAACTCCCATTCCTTGTTCTAATCAGTTAGTTCTAAGAAATACCCTACAACACTGGTCTACAGCCAAAATATATGTAAGAATATGGATGTGATTGTGTGTGGCGACTGCAGTTAAGCAGCTGTGTATTTGTGATGGTGTGAAGTGACTTGAAAGTTCTATCTGCACTATTAGAGCTGTGATACTTTATTCAGCAGTCAATGTCCAAGAGTGATGTGGCATTTTGTAAATTCTCTCAGTTGCTGGTACAAAGCATTTTTTTTGAGGTTAATACACCTTGCTATTTATGAGAGCACAAGGCCCTCTTTTTCTCATCCAGCTTCTTTCTTTTACAATAAGCTTCTTCATACTGCACTCCCTGGGAATGTGGGAATGAGTAGCCCCCAAATGCTGAGCTACTAGTCTATCTGATACACAATGGACATTACATAGAAGTCGTAACAATCCTGCATTTATTTTTAGAACAGTTCTGATGTGATCATGAGTAGAGGAACTGCTGTCTTCTGACTACTTTTCAGTTTGAAATCACCTCAGTAATTTTTCCTCATCTCCACACAGAAAAGACACATGTAGTCTTTTTCTTAATAGTGAAAGAGCCACTTGGAAGCAATTTTTAGCACAAAAATGGCTTCTACAGGTCCTTTGCTTGAAAACAAGAGGGAAAAGGTAGTTGTTGTTTCAGTTGTTTTTTTTTTTAAGAAGCTAAGAAAAAAAGTCATTCAGGGTTGCAATTTAGGCCATACAATGGAAGGACTTAAACAGTCCAGGTTTTAAAGTAAGAGCTTTGAAATCTTCCCCCCCCCCCCTGAGTTGGCATATATAGGAACGGACTGCATGTCTTACAATCCAAATTGAGGTTAAACTTTTTTTCATGCTGAAAGTAGCAATATAATGGGGTAGGTAATAATTTTCCTATAACTTTTTCACACCCTTCACTAAATGATTTGCCACATTTGAAAAACATAAAAACTATAATCAGGAATTTAAACTTACTGCTGAGAATCATTAAGAAGGATAATGTGAATATTCTTTGAAATGAGGTACAGGATGAAAAAATAAACACCAGTAAACTTCACATTGCACAAAAGCAACTAGTATGGATTAAGGACCTAAAATTATGGAGTGGGCGTATTTATGGATATATTATAGTTGTTTTTAGTTTAGTTGTGACTGTGTACTCTATTTGATTTTATATGCAGCATGTTGGCCCTTCTGGCCTACCATGCCAGAAAGTGTCAGCTCTCAGGCACTGTGTTTTTATTTTCTGTTCTACGTCCATGCTAAGTCAAATTACCCTTTATTGTTAAATCTGGATTTTAAAGCTTGATTTTACTGTTTTTAATATAACCGTTATTGGCCCAAATCCTGTTGTTTAGCTTAGTGAATCACACTAGAGTGAGCCCATTGAATCAATTGGGATTTGATGACTCAACTTTTACATAAGTTCTATTGATTCAAATAGACCTATTTTAAAGGGCCTATGATTCACTTAACATAATAAGTTGGAATCAATGGAACCTACAGAGCAGTTGGCTTACCAATTGCCATTGGTTCAATGGGCTTAGCATAGCGTAATTTACTAAGCTAAGCAACAGAATTTTGAGAGCTATATTTGTCCTTAGTATAAATTTTATACTGCTTTAATGTTTTGATCAAAGAGAATAAAACTGAATTCAATAAAGGAAAAATATTGTCTCCTCACACAAAGTCTTGAGAACAGAACTATAGGACAGACACAGGACTCCCAAACACAGCCTAATGCACAGATAAAACAAATTCAACTGGAAGCAGTACAAAGAGTTAGGTTAGGTTTTCTCCTTAATGCAGTGGGGCTCACAAGTGTATTTTTTATCCTTAATACTGGAAATCAGAGAAATTCAGAGCAGGACTTGGAATATAGTTGGCAGTGGCACCAGGTGTGGGGCAGGAGGACATAGCTGGAAAAACTGAGTCAGTTTTCTGTGACTGAATTCACTCTGTACCCTTTGGCAAGGGTCAATTTTCAGCCTTGCTGGTCCTCCACTTTCATTCCCCAAGTACCAAAACAATGACAGTTCACAGTAAGCCACTGTTTTGTGCAGTGCGATTTTGAGAAGTATAGTATGTAAAACTGTGAAGAGAATGGATGTACATTGTAACATCAAAGTCATTTGTGGATTCTGTTTTTACTGGAATTCCTTCAGGAGAAAACATTTCATAGTGACCGAAGATGTTTGCAGCTGGAGGATGGACTTAAGTTACCTGAACTAAACGTACAGGTATTTGTGTACTCTGAGCTACTTGTGTAAGCAGACTTCCTCTGATTGATGTCCTCCCTTTTTTGTCCCATATACCATCTTCTTCCTGGGGATTCCTCAATATTCAGAGGTTCAAATGGGGCTACAGTGGAGAAGAGGGAATCTCCCCATGCAAACATAAATAAACAACCATAAATAAAAGGGACTTATGTCCCTTGGAAAAGTCATGGTAAAAATATCCAAACAATAAAAGAAAGAAAGAAACCACAAATATCAAGTATCCAGTTTACTTTAGAAAATCTAAGACAAATTTTGTTAGAGTATATACATCCAAATTATCATTTTTATATGATTTCAGTATTTAAGAAATGGATCCTAGTTGTCTAGAGGTTCTTTCATTTGTTTGTTTTTAATACATTCTATATCCCTCCTTCATTTCTATTAATGTGTACTCAGTTCAAAACATCTTGTTTTTCTTTTCTATCTATTCCATGCCCAAACAACCATCCCAAGTTCAATAGATTTTATTAGTTGCCTGTGTGTAATATTAAAATATCAACACATTGCCAGTTGCCTTCAGGGTGCCTGAAAAAAATGATTGCTTAAAACGCAGACATGTAGCTCATAATTGCCCCTTAAAACAGTAATTACTGTCTTACAATCTGTTTCTGTAGTGAATGGCTTTCTTTACAGAAATGCATGTATTTGTTCACACACAAAAGAGGCAAAGTTTCTCTTTATACTTCAGAATAATGCCTCTCTGGGTTGGAAGTGTGGGAAGGCAAGGAACAGGGAAAAATGTGATCAAGGAGTGTTTTAGGAATAAATAGCATTCAGTCTTACTGCTAGTTCTTGTTAGCTATTTATCCTATCACTGTAATGTTTAATGCTTTCTAAAGTTATTTCCTGTTCATATATTGTAAAATTCTATGTTGGGAGTTCCCTGGGAAGGATTTCACCTAAAATGCAGTCTAAAAAATATTTTAAATGTATAACAATTTTTTTCTCATTTTCATCAACATTTTGGTAAAATCTCAACACTGCCAGAGAAACTGGTATATTTTCCATATGAACAACAGTCTTAGATTAATCGTAATATTCAAAATGGTGGTAATTATCCAAAATACATTTAATTCAAATCATTTTTCCAACTCTAGTGATAAATACTTACTTGCATGTAAATCATCCATAAATGAAGACTAATAGAGTTAAATAAAAACATTTCTTCCTGAATACATGAAGACCACAGCATTTTACAATTTCATTTTCTGATTGCTGTTTTTAATCAAGTTGTGGTGTTATACTGTATACATTAATCTGAAAGTTACATCTGAAAAGATGTGTATTGGATTACAGCTTTAATATACAGTCCTGTTTTTCTGATAATACTTACAGAAAATGTATTGCATTGATGTATACAGATCAGCATTAACTAATTCGGTTCAATTTGTTAAAGACCATGGCATATTGTAATCTAGGCAGAGAGTTTTTAAAGAAGTTAAGTTATTGTCCTATTTCAAACATTGTTGGAATAGAACTTTTACAGAGGTGTCTATTGGTTCAGTAAAGCACAGATACGCTAATTGTATCTACTTCCTTGTTGTAAAAGATTTCCCATTGATAATGCTGATGCTAGTGATG